CGAAACGTTGCATATGTATTGTTTTTAAGGCAACAGTGTTATTGACAAATGTGTTGAGTTATTTTATTCAAGAAACCTGAGGGACCTCAGTGAAACCCAAGAAACCCGAGGGATCTCAGTGAAACCCAAGAAACCCGAGGGATCTCAGTGAAACCCAAGAAACCCGAGGGATCTCAGTGAAACCCAAGAAACCTGAGGGATCCCAGTGAAACCCAAGAAACTCGAGGGATCTCAGTGAAACCCAAGAAACCCGAGGGTTCTCAGTGAAACCCAAGAAACCTGAGGGATCCCAGTGAAACCCAAGAAACTCGAGGGATCTCAGTGAAACCCAAGAAACCCGAGGGATCTCAGTGAAACCCAAGAAACCCGAGGGATCTCAGTGAAACCCAAGAAACCTGAGGGATCCCAGTGAAACCCAAGAAACCCGAGGGATTCCAGTGAAACCCAAGAAACCTGAGGGATCTCAGTGAAACCCAAGAAACCCGAAGGATCTCAGTGAAACCCAAGAAACCCGAGGGATCTCAGTGAAACCCAAGAAACCCGAGGGATCTCAGTGAAACCCAAGAAACCCGAGGGATCTCAGTGAAACCCAAGAAACTCGAGGGATTTCACTGAAACCCAAGAAACCCGAGGGATCTCAGTGAAACCCAAGAAACCCGAGGGATCCCAGTGAAACCCAAGAAACTCGAGGGATCTCAGTGAAACCCAAGAAACCCGAGGGATCCCAGTGAAACCCAAGAAACTCGAGGGATCTCAGTGAAACCCAAGAAACCCGAGGGATCTCAGTGAAACCCAAGAAACCCGAGGGATCTCAGTGAAACCCAAGAAACTCTAGGGATCTCAGTGAAACCCAAGAAACCCGAGGGATCCAGTGAAACCCAAGAAACCCGAGGGATCCCAGTGAAACCCAAGAAACTCTAGGGATCTCAGTGAAACCCAAGAAACCCGAGGGATCTCAGTGAAACCCAAGAAACCTGAGGGATCTCAGTGAAAACCAAGAAACTCGAGGGATCTCAGTGAAACCCAAGAAACCCGAGGGATCCCAGTGAAACCCAAGAAACTCGAGGGATCTCAGTGAAACCCAAGAAACCCGAGGGATCTCAGTGAAACCCAAGAAACCCGAGGGATCTCAGTGAAACCCAAGAAACTCTAGGGATCTCAGTGAAACCCAAGAAACCCGAGGGATCCCAGTGAAACCCAAGAAACCCGAGGGATCCCAGTGAAACCCAAGAAACTCTAGGAATCTCAGTGAAACCCAAGAAACCCGAGGGATCCCAGTGAAACCCAAGAAACCTGAGGGATCCCAGTGAAACCCAAGAAACCCGAGGGATCTCAGTGAAACCCAAGAAACCCGAGGGATCTGAGTGAAACCCAAGAAACCTGAGGGATCCCAGTGAAACCCAAGAAACCTGAGGGATCCCAGTGAAACCCAAGAAACTCGAGGGATCTCAGTGAAACCCAAGAAACTCGAGGGATCTCAGTGAAACCCAAGAAACCCGAGGGATCTCAGTGAAACCCAAGAAACCTGAGGGATCCCAGTGAAACCCAAGAAACTCGAGGGATCTCAGTGAAACCCAAGAAACCCGAGGGATCTCAGTGAAACCCAAGAAACTCGAGGGATCTCAGTGAAACCCAAGAAACCCGAGGGATCTCAGTGAAACCCAAGAAACTGTAGGGATCTGAGTGAAACCCAAGAAACCCGAGGGATTCCAGTGAAACCCAAGAAACCCGAGGGATCTGAGTGAAACCCAAGAAACCCGAGGGATTCCAGTGAAACCCAAGAAACCCGAGGGATCTGAGTGAACCCCAAGAAACCCGAGGGATCTCAGTGAAACCCAAGAAACCCGAAGGATCTGAGTAAAACCCAAGAAACCCGAGGGATCCCAGTGAAACCCAAGAAACCCGAGGGATCTCAGTGAAACCCAAGAAACCCGAAGGATCTCAGTGAAACCCAAGAAACCTGAGGGATCTCAGTGAAACCCAAGAAACTCGAGGGATCTCAGTGAAACCCAAGAAACCCGAAGGATCTGAGTGAAACCCAAGAAACCCGAGGGATCTCAGTGAAACCCAAGAAACCCGAGGGATCTCAGTGAAACCCAAGAAACCCGAGGGATCTCAGTGAAACCCAAGAAACCCGAAGGATCTCAGTGAAACCCAAGAAACCCGAAGGATCTCAGTGAAACCCAAGAAACCTGAGGGATCTCAGTGAAACCCAAGAAACCCGAGGGATCTCAGTGAAACCCAAGAAACCCGAGGGATCTCAGTGAAACCCAAGAAACCCGAGGGATCTCAGTGAAACCCAAGAAACCCGAGGGATCCCAGTGAAACCCAAGAAACTCTAGGGATCCCAGTGAAACCCAAGAAACCCGAGGGATCTCAGTGAAACCCAAGAAACCCGAGGGATCCCAGTGAAACCCAAGAAACTCGAGGGATCTCAGTGAAACCCAAGAAACCCGAGGGATCCCAGTGAAACCCAAGAAACTCGAGGGATCTCAGTGAAACCCAAGAAACCCGAGGGATCTCAGTGAAACCCAAGAAACCCGAGGGATCCCAGTGAAACCCAAGAAACTCTAGGGATCTCAGTGAAACCCAAGAAACCCGAGGGATCTCAGTGAAACCCAAGAAACCCGAGGGATCTCAGTGAAACCCAAGAAACCCGAGGGATCTGAGTGAAACCCAAGAAACCCGAGGGATTCCAGTGAAACCCAAGAAACCTGAGGGATCCCAGTGAAACCCAAGAAACTCTAGGGATCTCAGTGAAACCCAAGAAACCCAAGGGATCCCAGTGAAACCCAAGAAACTCTAGGGATCCCAGTGAAACCCAAGAAACCCGAGGGATCTCAGTGATACCCAAGAAACTCGAGGGATCTCAGTGAAACCCAAGAAACCCGAGGGATCCCAGTGAAACCCAAGAAACTCGAGGGATCTCAGTGAAACCCAAGAAACTCTAGGGATCTCAGTGAAACCCAAGAAACCCGAGGGATCTCAGTGAAACCCAAGAAACCTGAGGGATCTCAGTGAAACCCAAGAAACCCGAGGGATCTCAGTGAAACCCAAGAAACCCGAGGGATCCCAGTGAAACCCAAGAAACTCTAGGGATCTCAGTGAAACCCAAGAAACCCGAGGGATCTCAGTGAAACCCAAGAAACCCGAGGGATCTCAGTGAAACCAAGAAACTCTAGGGATCTCAGTGAAACCCAAGAAACCCGAGGGATCCCAGTGAAACCCAAGAAACCCGAGGGATCCCAGTGAAACCCAAGAAACTCTAGGGATCTCAGTGAAACCCAAGAAACCTGAGGGATCCCAGTGAAACCCAAGAAACCCGAGGGATTCCAGTGAAACCCAAGAAACCCGAGGGATCTGAGTGAAACCCAAGAAACCTGAGGGATCCCAGTGAAACCCAAGAAACCCGAGGGATCTCTGTGAAACCCAAGAAACCTGAGGGATCCCAGTGAAACCCAAGCAACTCGAGGGATCTCAGTGAAACCCAAGAAACTCGAGGGATCTCAGTGAAACCCAAGAAACCCGAGGGATCTCAGTGAAACCCAAGAAACCCGAGGGATCTCAGTGAAACCCAAGAAACCTGAGGGATCCCAGTGAAACCCAAGAAACTCGAGGGATCTCAGTGAAACCCAAGAAACCCGAGGGATCTCAGTGAAACCCAAGAAACTCGAGGGATCTCAGTGAAACCCAAGAAACCCGAGGGATCTCACTGAAACCCAAGAAACTGTAGGGATCTGAGTGAAACCCAAGAAACCCGAGGGATTCCAGTGAAACCCAAGAAACCCGAGGGATCTGAGTGAAACCCAAGAAACCCGAGGGATCTCAGTGAAACTCAAGAAACCTGAGGGATCCCAGTGAAACCCAAGAAACTCGAGGGATCTCAGTGAAACCCAAGAAACCCGAGGGATCTCAGTGAATCCCAAGAAACCCGAAGGATCTGAGTGAAACCCAAGAAACCCGAGGGATCTCAGTGAAACCCAAGAAACTCGAGGGATCTCAGTGAAACCCAAGAAACCCGAAGGATCTGAGTGAAACCCAAGAAACCAGAGGGATCTCAGTGAAACCCAAGAAACCCGAGGGATCCCAGTGAAACCCAAGAAACCCGAGGGATCTCAGTGAAACTCAAGAAACCCGAAGGATCTCAGTGAACCCCAAGAAACCCGAGGGATCCCAGTGAAACCCAAGAAACCTGAAGGATCTCAGTGAAACCCAAGAAACTCGAGGGATCTCAGTGAAACCCAAGAATCCCGAGGGATCCCAGTGAAACCCAAGAAACTGTAGGGATCCCAGTGAAACCCAAGAAACCTGAGGGATCTCAGTGAAACCCAAGAAACCCGAGGGATCCCAGTGAAACCCAAGAAACTCTAGGGATCTCAGTGAAACCCAAAAAACCCGAGGGATCTGAGTGAAACCCAAGAAACCCGAAGGATCTGAGTGAAACCCAAGAAACCCGAGGGATCCCAGTGAAACCCAAGAAACTCGAGGGATCTCGGTGAAATTCAAGAAACCCGAGGGATCTGAGTGAAACCCAAGAAACCCGACGGATCTCAGTGAAACCCAAGAAACCCGAGGGATCCCAGTGAAACCCAAGAAACCCGAGGGATCTCAGTGAAACCCAAGAAACCCGAGGGATCTCAGTGAAACCCAAGAAACTCTAAGGATCTCAGTGAAACCCAAGAAACTCGAAGGATCTGAGTGAAACCCAAGAAACCCGAGGGATCCAAGCCCCGCCCGAGAGAAGAGGGGCGGGGCTTGGCTACGCGGGGGGTTGGGGGGCGGGGTGAGCCCCTCCCCCCTCCCCCGCGGCCGTGTTGTGGTGACGTCACTGGCAGGTTTTTTGCTGGAGCCGGAAGCGGCGCGCGCTGCCACCCGCTGCTCCTCCTCCTGCTCCTCCTGCTGCTCCTCCTCCTGCTGCTCCTCCTCCTGCTGCTCCTCCTCCTGCTGCTCCTCCTCCTGCTGCTCCTCCTGCTGCTCCTCCTCCTGCTGCTCCTCCTCCTGCTGCTGCTCCTCCTCCTCCTGCTGCTCCTCCTCCTCCTGCTGCTCCTGCTGCTGCTGCTCCTCCTCCTCAAGCGAGCCGCGCTCTGCCCGAGGTGCCCGGCGTTCGGTCGTCGGCGCTTCGGCTGTGCTCGCCTCGTCTCAAGAGGCACGAGGGTAAATCTCACACGCGCACACTCACACCACACTACACACACACAACACACACTACACACACTACACACACACACCACACTACACACACTACATTACACACACTACACTACACACACAACACACACTACACACACACTCACACTACACACACACACTACACACACTACAGAACACACACTACACACACACACCACACTACACACACACTACATTACACACACTACACACACTACACTACATTACACACACACTACACTACATTACACACTACACTACACACACTACACTACACACACTACATTACACACCACACTACACACACTACATTACACACACTACACAACACACACTACACACACCACACTACACACACACTACACACACACACCACACTACACACACACTACATTACACACACTACACACACACACACTACACTACATTACACACACACTACACTACATTACACACTACACTACACACACTACATTACACACACTACACTACACACACAAACACACACTACACTACACACACTACACTCACCACACTACACACACACTACACTACACACACTACACACCACACTACACACACACTACACACACACTACACACTCTACACACACTACACTACACACACTCTACACACACACTCTACACACTCTACACACACACTACACACACACTACACTACACGCACACTACACACTCTACACACACTAAACTACACACACACTACACACTACACTACACACACTACACACACACTACACTCACACTCTACACACACTAAACTACACACACTCTACACACACTACACACACACAACACTACACACTACACTACACACTCACACGTCATCTGCTCTGCTTCGCCCCCCCCTCACCCCACGCCTGGGCCCGGCAGAATCGTGCGCGCCTCCCGCGTATTTTCGCTATCAGACCTTCGTGTTATTTGTGTTTTACGTCAAATATGCAGCATGAGATAAGCGAACAAGCAGAAATCGCGCGCCGCTTGGCTATTGCGTTATTCCGCGCAGACGGTCACGATCAGACTACGTGTCGGTGTGAGGGGCCGACACACATTTAAAAACATTGTTGGATTTGATGATGATGGTGATGTTGGTGATGGTGATGTTGGTGATGTAGGGGGGGGGTTGGTGTTTAAAATTCGCGTGTTCCCTCACTAAAGGCCACCGGTGACCGCCTTTGCAATGAAGAGCACCTGAGGTACAGTGCGCCGGTGGAGTCATCTGGTGGTCGCTTCTGTAAGAGCAGCTGCAGGAGGAATAGGTCAGTGGGCTTTACCCGATGGGATGGAATAGCTCGAGTGTTATCAACGTGTGTGTTTGCGTGATGTGTTTACCTTTTGATGCTTTGACATCTGTGGAGAAAAAAAAACAGAGCTGTTGCAGCTCGTCGGGTTTCACTTCCCAACTCCGTCTTGAGCTAAACACAATGTGCCATGATTCTGTGTCTTTAGGTCAGGAGAGCGGTGGGTGGGGGTGTTGGTGGGTGGGGGTGAGTGGTGGCTGGCTGGTGGGTTGCTGGCTGGTGGCTGGCTGGTGGCTGGGTGGTGGGTGGCTGGTGGCTGGGTGGTGGGTGGCTGGTGGCTGGGTGGCTGGTGAGTGGTGAGTGGCTGGTGGGTGGCTGGCTGGTGGGTGGCTGGCTGGTGGGTGGCTGGCTGGTGGCTGGGTGGTGGGTGGCTGGTGAGTGGTGGGTGGCTGGTGGGTGGCTGGTGGGTGGCTGGTGGGTGGCTGGCTGGTGGCTGACTGGTGGCTGACTGGTGGGTGGCTGGCTGGTGGCTGGCTGGTGGCTGACTGGTGGCCGGGTGGTGGGTGGCGGCTGGGCATGGCCGACGAGACCGGAGACGACGACGTCCTCCTGCACGCCGAGTTCGGCGCGAGGCGGCGCGAGAGCTGCGCCCGCTACGCCCTCACGCTCACGCGCGCCGCGCTGCACGCCCAGCCGCTGCCCCCCGCGGCGGCGCGCGACCCCTCGCGCCGTCTCCTCGTGCCGCTCGCCGACGTCGTCGGCTGCCACGCGCTCAGGCACAGGTGGGTGCGGCGGGGGGAGGTGACGACGTCACGACGAGGGATTTGTGGGTGACGACGTCACGACGAGGATTTGTGTGTGACGTCATCGGCTGTCACGTGCTCAGACAGGTGACAGTCGCGACGAGTGTTTAATCTGTATGGAGTGTGGGGTGTGACGTCATCGGCTGCCACGCGCTCAGACACAGGTGACAGTCGTGACGAGCGTTGTGCGAGTGTGTGTGCAGGGTGTGACAATCGGCTGCCACACACTCGGATGACGTCACGACGAGTTACGTGTGGGTTAAGGGTGTGACGTCTCGACAAATCCGGTCACGCACTCTCCTCGGTTATAAACACATTTGGTGACTTAAAGCTTTCGTGACTGCAGGACTTCATATTCTTTTGGTCTTTCGTTAAAGCCACGTAGATAGAAGAAATAATACAATTAGTAACAATATCACGACGTTTCGATCGCAACACAAGCAATCGTCATCAGGTGAAAAAAGAGGGGGAAGCTGCTGAGGCAGGCTGCTTATAAAGGTTTAGAGATGGGCGGGTCAGCTAATGTTAATGTAGGAGAGGGCTCCGACACTGGCAGTAGGTCTACACCAATCAGAGAGCTGCTTATAAAGGTTTAGAGATGGGCGGGGCAGCTAATGTTAATGTAGGAGAGGGCTCCGACACTGGCAGTAGGTCTACACCAATTGATTGGTGTAGACCTACTACCGGTGTCGGAGCCCTCTCCTTCATTAACATTAGCTGCCTGCCTCAGCAGCTTTCCCCCTCTTTTTTCACCTGATGACGATTGCTTGTGTTGTGATCGAAACGTCGTGATATTGTTATTATTTTAATATTTTTTTCTATCTCCGTGGCTTTACCGAAAGACCCAAAGAAATTTGGTGGTGTGCAACCACAATAAAAACAGCTCAACATTTGTAACATTAACACTGTGATCAATGTTATAGCCCCAACATTGAAAAGAATGGACCTTAATTTACGTGCTATTACGTGCTATTTGGAAGGGCCATTGCCCAAAAATGTCACCTATTATATATTGTTCATGTGCATGCTGCAGCGTTGACGAACGTGTTGAATTTTTCAGTTTAATCACAGTCGGGTGGCTGAAATGTGGATCAAAATTCAGGATCTCGGTGGTGCCAGATCAGCGTCTCTGACACGGCCATTATGAACCTCACATAGCCCTATGAGCCCCTGAAAGAAACACCCAGTCCGGGGAATGTAGCTCAGACTCTGCCTATGACATGGACTTTTTAAACCTGACCCTGAAATTATGAATTATTGTCACAACCATTTTTGTCAAACTCGCTCTGCTATTGTCATGGCTATTATGAACCTCACAATGCCATTGTGAACCTAACACGGCCATTACGAACCTGACGTTATGAACCCGACGTGGCCATCGTGAACCCCTCGCAACGTTCTTTATGTTTTCCTCCTCTCTCCGCAGACCGAAGTCGACCTCGTCGCAGCCTTCGCCCTCCCCGCCGTCCCCATCGTCCCCCGCGCCCCCCACGTCCTCGAACTGTCAGTGGGCGTACGTGACGGTGTTTGCCTACCCGCGGGGGGGGGGCACGGGAAAGGGGAAGGGGTCCCGCTCCCCCGCGCGACACACCTTCCGCATCGACTCGCACGGCGACGCGGATGGCAACATTCGCGAAGCACGCCGCTGGGAGACGGCCATTGTCAGCCTGCTCAGGGGTGAGTGAATGGGGGGTGAGTGAATGGGGGGTGAGTGAATGGGGGGCGGGTGGGGCAGTGTGCTTTTAACTCTTCAGATTATAAAACGCACCGTCCCTGTATTTTAAAAGAAAGGTTCGGGGTGCTCGTATAATTCAGAAAATGCACTATCTTCTGGAAAACGTACTTTAATCCAGCAGCTGTTCAGAGTCATCTTCCGGAGGACGGTTTTTGCACAGCGATGCATGACCATCCCCAGGAGGCAGCTGTGACACCCACCAGCAGCCGATCAGAATCATCATCCTTTCCGCAGTATAAAGCGGCGCATTCATAATCGTCGTCTAGAAGATGTACCAAAACCACACAATGTAACTGGTGTCGGCCAAACATGGCAATGTTGAAAAGAATCACCTGGAAATTACTTAATTGGGATCACACACAGCAGCAATATCGCTCCCTCCTGTGAAACTAATGCCGACTCTGCACTATAAGAATGGTGTAAATACCAATTGCACTCGCTATTTGCCGTTATGCCAGGTAGTAGACATTGGCGCACCGAGTACATTTTGTCTCTCGGTATATTTCGAAAGCGTTGCATTTGGGGTTATGAGATGCTCCGGAAAATGAGACACCCCCCCCCCCCAAACTTGTGCCCGGTGTCAATAAAGTAATGTAGATCTGGTCAAACACATCTGTACAAACACTATCAAAGACAAAGGATCCCTCGTACAGCCTTGACCGACTGTTGGGGCAGGTGCTGTTAGCAAGGAGCACCCGTCATGCAAACTAACACACACACTGACTCTAACACAATGACCAAGATATCACTTAGGCCGGCATGGGACAGATATGTTTCACCGATGTTGACTGAGCGATAATCAAGTGCTGTCATTGCAGCACTTGTGCCAGGGTAGGTGCCCTTTCAGGCCATGACGTGAAGAAGTGAGGAAGGCTTGCTGGCAGGAGGACACGGGACAGATCCCGGTGTTATTGATAGTCTGACCAAGATGACTGACGCACAAACTCAAAGATCACCCGTACAGCCTTAGATTTTTGGGGTAATAGGTATTAGCAAGAACCTATGGATGCCAGCATGGTACATGCACACTCACGCCAAGTCGCAAACACTTAACACTCTAAGATCCCGGAGTAGAAGACGCAACCCTCAACTTTTACTTTACAATACAGGGAGAAAAAAAAATGCGTGTGCTATATAATCCGTAGTGTAGGTAAATTCTAAGCCACGTGAAAATAGGACTAATGTAAACATCTATGCATTAGTTTGCTTTGCATTTACAAACTTTGCAAACGGATATGTCTCTCAGAATTGTGGTGGAACAGGTTTGTTTTGGCCCACACTGCCCGAGTGTGATGCTAATGACCTTCAGGGTGATTTCACTCCTCCCTGCTGTGGGGCTCATTCAGAATCGCAATGAGCACTGCACCGGGGCACTCATCTCTTTCACGATTTAAATCGACGCCAGTCGAGATGGTGGCACAGCAGTGAGCGCACACCGCGCTTTGAACTCAGTAGCCCAAGTTAGAATTCCTGGCCACGGCTAACATCAGTGGCAAGTGGATTATAACTGGTCTCACGCTCCTTGAACTATTTGTGGGTCCAAAAGTAAAACACGTTGGTTTCCGGATTTGTCTCGATTATAAATGGACTCGAGGTAGGAGCGGTGGCGCAGTGGTTAGCACTCTACGCTGCGAACCTCACCCATCACAGTTTATTCCCGCTCAAGGCGAACATCAGTGGCGAGTGACATCTGAACCTGTCCTCCCCCCCCCCCACTCACCCACCTCACCTACCCACACTGACCACAGTGATGAAGTATGCAACAAAAAAACTCCATGGCCAACGCAGGGTGGGGGGGGGGGGTATTGATCCACTGGTGTATTGATAATCGCTGGAATTTATTCGCTACGATAGCTGTTGTCTCTCTGACGTGGCCATTATGAACTTGGATAGATTAAGATTTCCCGAAGCTGCTGTAGTCGTTACAGTTAATGTGTAACCATGTTGGGTCTGTGGCAGCTCAGGTCTTTGTGGTTTTGTCACTACATAGTAAACAGCTCAAAGATCACTCTGCTGTGATATTACAGTTCAGTGCACTTTTTTTAAGCAGGTGAGAGCCCATTGAGATGAATTGCTTCTTGCAATTGACATCCTTTATTTAATGAGGTGATAACCCATTGAGACGAAGTGTCAGTTCTGGTTGATGTCCTTTATATAACCAAGATGTGAGCCCACAGATATTTCTTCTCATTTAATATGTGGATCTCCGAGCCTCTGTATAGTCTTATCAGCATGAACCTTGGAGCCAGCATTTTACTACAACCAGCTTAACATTTTAGGCACAGTCGTTAAGAAACCCCTGAGAGAGAGAGACACCCAACTCCAGGGCTTGAACCTTGAACCCAGGAGTTCGGCAACGCCAGCCTGCATTCGAGATGGCCATGGTGAACCTGCCGTACAGAGAGAGGTGGAGTGGTTGATTAATACACTGCACATCAAGCGGTCCGAGTTCGATTCCTGGCCACAGCTAACATCAGTGGCAAATCTTCTGCTTGCATATGGCTGGATTAATAGCAACTTATGGTGGGACCGTCTAGATTAGGAGCAGTAAGCCATGCAGTGACTTCAATTGCTGTGTGGTGGATTGCTTAAGTGCTTCAGCTGTACTTTGCAGTTCTGGTTCACTCGAAGACTTACATAGAGACCCACAGAGACTCATAGACTTAAATAGATTTTATTGTCGTTCACGATTGTGCGAGCTCACACAGAGACCCATAGACTCGTGTGAATTGTCAAGGTTAACATTTGATACACCACTGTGACGTTGATGCTCTGGGCGGCATTTCCGCATTCACACGGCAGGCATTCTCTTGACCGATACATGGCCACCAACCCTTCACCAGCCCACACGGACCGGCGTGCTGAAGTATGGTCAAACAATCCCATGATGAAAAAGGCATGAGGAGGCCTCCATCCAGCAGCGGATTTATACAGGGCGGTGCGATATACGCAGCAAGAGAGCGAGAGTGGGTGGATGCCTGCGAGTTGCTATCAGCTGAGGTATCTCTTGCACAATGCCAAGAGCTGGCACGTCAATGCTCGCACTTGCCCAATGTCCTCTTACAGTGGGTAGCCTTCAATAGAAGTGCCATCAGAACAAATACATCCATGATACAGTTTTTTTTGGGTTAGATATCGTAAATATAAACTTGTCGTTAAACACGCCACCACCCGACTCAGCCAATCGGCGACGTTGAACGATGAGTTTATATTTGGGCGTGGAACCCAAAGCACCTCTATGACGGATAATATTGGCCGCGAAAGCCGACGTGTTAAACAGAGCAAATACAACTGTGAACCAATGCTACAGCTTGTTTGGGCAATGTCAGAGAGGTTTCCTACTCGAACGAGCTTTGAGGCATTGGTGCCGATCCGGGGGTGGTGACGCGGCCCAGCAACAGCGCGGTTCGCCGCTCGTTTCACGAGGTTCGCGGTTGGAACCCAGCGGGCCGCCCTGATTAATACTGCGGCGTGCGTGCGTGTTAACTGTGAAAATACTACGATACACGGCGTCGACTTCGCGGTAGACTTCACAGATCACATGGCGTCATTTGCAAGAGTTAGGACGTCGCGTGCTCGTGTCACGGTCCGGATTTGCCAAAGTTGGAAAAAATGATACCGCAAATGACTCGGTTGGAATTGCGCGTAAAGATAGCGGTGATATCGCCCTGTAATGGGAAAACGTGGCAGAATCCTCCTGAAAAATAGTTTGGAGACTCAGGAGTCTTAAAGAATGGTGATAATTTAGCAAAACAGAGCAATTTACAGTACCGTACTGTATAAACTATATACTGTATATATTTATTAATGACAATACTGTATTGCACAGTAAAATGTGAAGTAAAAAAACAAGGTAAATTTTTAGCCTACCTATATGAACTGCAATTTCATATAAAGTTTTTTTTCAGGAAACAATCCTATCTGCTAGAAAAACTTTTAACATGCATTGAACGTAACGTATCGTGGTAACCCTAAAAATGAAATCGCTAAAGCTACGTATCATACAGTGAGGGAAAAAAGTATTTGATCCCCTACTGATTTTGTACGTTTGCCCACTGACAAAGAAATGATCAGTCTATAATTTTAATGGTAGGTTTGTTTGAACAGTGAGAGACAGAATAACAACAACAAAATCCAGAAAGACGCATGTCAAAAATGTTATAAATTGATTTGCATTTTAATGAGGGAAATAAGTATTTGACCCCCTCTCAATCAGAAACATTTCTGGCTCCAAGGTGTCTTTTATACAGGTAACGAGTTGAGATTAGGAGCACACTCTTAAAGGGAGTGCTCCTAATCTCAGCTTGTTACCTGTAAAAAAGGCACCTGTCCACAGAAGCAATCAATCAGATTCCAAACTCTCCACCATGGCCAAGACCAAAGAGCTCTCCATGGATGCCAGGGACAAGATTGTAGACCTACACAAGGCTGGAATGGGCTACAAGACCATTGCCAAGCAGCTTGGTGAGAAGGTGACAACAGTTGGTGCGATTAATCGCAAATGGAAGAAATACAAAATAACTGTCAATCTCCCTCGGCCTGGGGCTCCATGCAAGATCTCACCTCGTGGAGTTGCAGTGATCATGAGAACGGTGAGGAATCAGCCCAGAACTACACGGGAGGATCTTGTCAATGATCTTAAGGCAGCTGGGACCATAGTCACCAAGAAAACAAATGGTAACACACTACGCCATGAAGGACTGAAATCCTGCAGCGCCCGCAAGGTCCCCCTGCTCAAGAAAGCACATATACATGCCCGTCTGAAGTTTGCCAATGAACATCTGAATGATTCAGAGGACAACTGGGTGAAAGTGTTGTGGTTAGATGAGACCAAAATGGAGCTCTTTGGCATCAACTTAACTCGCCGTGTTTGGAGGAGGAATGCTTCTAGATTTAAAGCTTTCGTGACTGCAAGGATCCATACACTTTGGTTCTATTCGGT